ACAGACATACATACATACATACATTACATACATTACATATATCACATACAGTACATACATTACGTACATTGCACTACATACCTGCATACATACATACATACATACATACATACATACATGCATACATGCATACATGCATACAATACATGCATGCATACATACATACATACATACATAAATGCATACATACACACATACATGCATGGATGCATAGATACATAAATGCATACATGCATACATGCATGCAATTGCATGCATACATACAGACAGACATACATACATATGCGCATGTGTACATGTGCGCGTGCATACGCATGAACACGCCTGCGCATGCAAGCTGGACAAACGCAACTGTCACAATTGTGAGAAACACGAAAAGTCTGCACGTCTGCTTGAGCGCTGTGCGCTCGCGTCCCCACCCCCTTTGTGTCCCGTCCCGCATGATATCCGCCAAATGGGCAGGTGGAATGTCGTAATTACCGCAAAGCATGCCGGGGCAGCATTGTAAAACCCAGCTGACTGGGTTGCCAAGCGTCTGTCAGTGAGTGTTGGCATTTTACATATTTTGAAACACCGAAGGATCGACTAAGAGAATCACAAAACCAGACCACCCATCCCTGCGACTGTTGGCACTGTTTCAACTTTTTGAATTTTGGAGCTGTCGCTGCAACATCTTTCACTGTCGGCTCTTTCGAGGTGCATGGCACGGTCATGGCCCAAAACCAATGACAGTAACTGTCAGGCAAGCCTGGGGCGGGGGAGGGAATGCAAAGCGCCTGACCATATGTGTGGGTATGTGCAGGTGTTTGGCGATTGCATCCCAGGCCTCGTTCTGCCGCTATGATTTGCCCTCCGCTGCTCGCATAGCTCGCCTCTCTGCAGAGACCTCCAAACACACTGGGTTCTTTTTGGCTTGATCGCCCCCGTTTCCCTAAAGTACACTGGCTTCAGGCTCGGATCTAGGTTCGGGTTCAGGTCATGGCTGGGGAGCAGCAACATATCTCAGCTTGTTGGACCAGAGCCTCCGAGTAGAGGGACAAGTATTCTGCCAGGTAACCCACCTTGGCGAAGGGCGGCTTTGTCAGGATAAGGAGAGGCAGAGCTGGTAAAGGTCTCATGAAGAAGGGCAGTTTTCTGTGTTGCTACGAGACCTTTTCAACCACGCATCGGTGAACTTGAATTGCATTCTGTTGATGGCAGGTCATTCAAGATTTGAGTGGCCAAACACAAAATTCTGCGAATAGTAGAAATCCCTCTGAGCCGAAGCCCATTTTGCGAGGCTCTTGCCGGATCTTCAGGCTGCTCCCGGCAGACATCCACCAGTGCGCCTGTGAGTGCCGGGACCTCAACCAAAGCTGGGGAATCGGGACAGAAATGTGAGAATTGTGAGCACTGGCACTGGCAGCACCAGCTGAGCCCAACACCACGAACTTCATGAGGTAGAGGCGAAGAGGCTCTGAATGCTTTTCCAAACGTGCCTTGTGGCGCCAGGGAGTGCCAGGGAGCCGAGCATAACCCTTTCTACTCAGGACACGAGACTTCAGCAATTCACTGCCAGAGCAGAGGCAAATGGGGCAAGCACCAACTCTTCTTTCTTCACGTGCTCCTGGGCCATCGGTGCTGCGTGGCAAGAGCACCCACTTGGCCCTATGTTTGAGAGGGGCTAGGGTGTCACGCTTTGTGGAGCATGTTCGATGCTATGCGAATGCACGAACGGTCCTCAAGAAGAAGTGAATTGAGCTTGTTATCTTGTCATGTCCTTCTGCAGATACGCCCCATATTGCGAAGCATTGACACGGTGATTCCCGTCTCTCGATCCGACACCTTGGCATCCTCGTACCTTCCTGTCGATTTGGATCTCTCGCCCAATTCAGTAAGGACTGCCTATTCTAGTTTTGCTGAGCCGATGGGCAACTGCTTGGAGAACTTCATCAAATTCCTGTGTCCATTTGTCGTTCGGCAAAAATTGCAACGGACCATGTCGCTTTGCAGGTCAAGGCACCACGCGCTGCTCGTGTCTGAGACGTTCCTGAGCTGGTCGTTGTGGAGTCTTCTTCTTATTCATGAGTGCGACAAAGGGACACTATTCACACGAAGCTAGCAACTTTAAGAGGGATCACAGTCGGGGCCTGACAACTTGCACAAGCACCACTCCAAAGTAGCCACTCATGAATGCTGTGCAAGGCTTCATCGCTTTGCGCCACGGCCGCAGTGGAGTCTGCAGTTGCCTTGCAGACTCTGAGACCCGGCTGCTTGAAGCTAGCTGGCTATCCGGAACCGGTTGGGCTGAATCCTGTCCTGTAACCGCAGACCGAAACTTGAGGAAGCGAAGCCGGGCCTCCTCCGCCGCTGCAGTGTCCGCCGGCACGGCTGCAGACTGCGCTGGGCCGGGGGCCGGCAGGAAGTTGAACACCGGCCGACGGGCCTGGAACTCAAACCCTCTGCAAACCCTACTGCATCTATACACACATGCGTATGCACACAATGCACATAAGCATGCTACTAAGGCATGATATACCTCCCTCCTAGGCTGGAGAGCACACCTTCGATCGGCAAAAGCTATAGGGGGAGCCGTCTGTCTCCCTGACATGGCCTCCAGGGCCTCCACCACAGTGGGAATCGCCGTATCCAGCCAAGTCCAGGATCCGGACCTTGCGTCTCCAGGACACTTGGGGGTTTCCGAAGATAGGGGACCCTGATATAGTACCCCAAATAGTAGGATCCTTATTATAAGGACCCCAGAATAAGGTACCCCTTATTTTCGGAAACTCCCACTTCCTTTGCCTTGAACGTCGGTACTGACGAGCTGGAACCCCAGTTCACGATGTGCGAGTCTCGGAAGCCAAAGGAGCAACAAATAGAAGAGAGGTGATGCTGCTGCAGCTGCTGCTGCAGCTGCTGCTGCTTCTGATGGTGTAGTGTAGTAGTAGCAGTAGTAGTAGTAGTAGTAGTAGTAGTAGTAGTAGCAGTAGCAGTAGTAGCAGTGGTAGTAGTAGCAGTAGTAGCAGTGGTAGTAGTAATAGTAGTAGTAGTAGTAGTAGTAGTAGTAGCAGTAGTAGTAGCAACAGCAGTAGTAGTAGTAGTAGTAGTAGTAGCAGGAGGAGAAGTAGTAGTAGTAGTAGTAGTAGTAGTAGTGGTAGTGGTAGTAGTAGAGTAGTAGTAGTAGTAGTAGTAGTAGTAGTAGTAGTAGTAGTAGTTTTTGTCACCTACTAGTAGTTGTTGTAGCATTAGCA